AATTTGTAATTTTATTAAAATAATTAATTTTAATATTTAAAAATATTTATTTAAAAATCAATTTTAATATATTAAATGATAAATTATTATATAATGTGACCAATTATAAACCAATAATCTCAAATATATATTTTTGAGATATATATATTGGTGTTTTGTTAGTTAGGCATTTAAAATTAAGAGAATAAATACTTTAAAATTATGTTATTTTATTAAAATATTATAAAAAAAACCACAAACTCAATTATGATTTAAAAATATGTTATTTTGGTTTTTTTTTTCAATGATAGTTCATTAAAACAATTTAATTTTTGAGTCTTCTTCTTCCCAACTTTTTAAGAGATCAAAACAAATAATCTTAAAAAAAAAGTGTTTGTGAATCGAGTCTCTAAAAAAATTAAGAAAAAGAATATTTTAAAAATATATTATTTTAATAAAGACTCAATAAAAAAACTAAAATAATTTATTTTTAAATTAAAATTGAGTTTATTTTAACTTTTTAGTAATATTTTAATTAAATAATATAATTTTAAAATATTTTATTCTGCTAGCTTATTAGAGGTGTATATACATCTTAGAACAACACTTGTTGTGAAAGGGAGAGAATTGTAGAAACTTTACTTCTGAATAGTAGGTACGTACGTAAAGCTGAAAATAACTTATAATGAAATTAAAAGCACTTTTCAAATAATTTCACCAAACCAAAAAAAATAAAACTTCAAATAATTTGCCTTTCTCCTTGGAATAGAAAAAGTCCATTCAAAAGGGAATTTAAACCGATACGATATTAGTTTATACTCGAAACCTTAGAATAAGAATTTAGAACAAAATTAATTGAGACAAATTCAATTAAAAGAACTAAATCAAACATGTGAATGTTTAAATTTTTCATGAACAGTCTCTGAAACCTACCTTACACCAAAACCATTTGAATCCACATGATTTGAATGTAATCATGTAATTAAAAGAACTGTTTCTAAAAGAAATATTCTGCGAATGTGTTTAACAGTAACTGTTGGATTTTGAAACTGCAAAAAAAGACAAAACTTTAGCCTTCTCTTTTATTCTACAGATATTGTGTGATCTTTTGAGGGTGAGGGATTACTATTTGTTAATTAATTTGTTCTTTATATTCCAAGAGTTAAATCTACTGATAAATAAGTATTGATTTGTAAGATAGATTCAACCTTTAAATTTTAAGGCCACCTAAGAATAAATTAATTTCTTTAAATGTATTAAACCGATGTGAGAAAATATATCCTTAAGATCTCATAAGAAAGAATTATCTTGAAATATATAAAAGCTGACTCAAGCTTACCTTAACTATAAATATTAAAAAAAAAAAAATTGGTCCCTAACTTTGATTTCATACCGCCTTTCAAAAAAAAAATCCTTTGATTTCATACCAAAATTAATTTGGTCCGTTTTCCCCCAACCTTTTTGACCATATAAATGTGAAGAAGTGGAGGAAAAAGAAAGGAATAAATATTCCTTGAGGAATGCCATTGAATTTATATTCCTTGGACTATCAATATTTGCAGTCTGTGTTCAGGGTGGGGATATGAAGGTGTCCTGGACATAGAAGAATTTGATTTCTTTTACTTTATTCATGGAAAAGCAGACATGGAGATACTTGAATTACAGTCATAGATGGGGAGGCCCATGTTGTGTGTGTTAGAAACTGAATAATATGATGTTTATGGATTTATGATATCTTTGTACTCCGCTTATTAATAATATTATTTTTTGCTGTTCAAAAAAAAAAAAAAAAAAGAAACTGAATAATAAAGTTTGACTTTTGTAAAAAAAAAAAAAAAAAAAGAAACTGAATAATAAAGTTTGACTTTTGTATGCTTACATTTTCAGATTTGCATTTTGAACCCACCATGCATGTGCTTTCACAAGTTAGGCAAGAAGCAAACTTGGGAAGAGGAAAAAGATCTCTTCAGTAGAAGCTGTATGTAGGCCACAGTGACCCCATACACTTAGATCACATATATTTTTCCATACTCCAGCCAACAAAACTACTCAAATTCAATGCCTTATTATATTTCTCAACCATTTGTTATAGACTGCCTTCATACTAAAGCTTAGAAGATTTTCTTCTCTTTTTTTTTTGATATTTTACACGTATGTTTATCAACATTTCTACTCTACAGTTAGATTCAAATGGTATTCTAAATCAATTTGTATGAGTCTGATTATTGTGATTGTCGTAAAAATTAGTTAAAAATTACTTGTCAAATCTTAATCAATAAATTATATATAGCAATAAACATTCTTAACAATTTGACCATTTATTATATAGAATTTACACGTCGTGCCAAATATTTATTTCAAAAATAGTGCATGATGAGGAAAAAAAAACGCTACTGTCATCTCAAGAAAAGAAAAGTGCAGCGAAGATTGGGAGAGAAGAGAGTCATGACTGGACTAACTCAGGCGCTGCCCACCCAGCATGCCTTTTGAATTTGTCATATCTTCTAGGAAATGAATGACATGTCACTTTATTAGCACTAATTAGTCAATGTAAACAAATCCAAGGTTTTCTCCTTGATGTGAACTTGT